AGTGTGACGGGGGCAGTGACCCAACCCCCCAATAGGCCCTACCCTGAAGGTGACTGGGGATGGCATCGCAACCTCCCAATCCGCCCTGCTCTGTTCATGTCGGGGGCGGCGCCCCAACTCCCCAATCAGCCCTGATCTGAGCCCGACCAGGGGCTGCACCTAGGGATTGGGCCTGCCGTCTGCCACCCGGGAGCAGGCCTAAGCCAGCAGGTCCTTATCTCCTGAGGGGTCCCAGACTGCAAGAGGGCACAGGCAAGGCTGAGGGACCCCTTCCTTCCCCTCCCGAGTGCACAAATTTTTGTGCACTGAGCCTCTAGTTTTACTATAAAAAAGATTGCATTCTCTCTCAAGACTAACATAAATAGACATCATCATTGCAGATATTGGGGAAAAACAGCACAGCTGTCTTGGGAAACACATCTTCGAACTTACTTGTTTAATAAGTTTTCAATAATTTTAAACATGCGATTGTATTTTTTTCTACTCCTAACGAATAGACCACATTTACTTCTGAAATTTGCTTTGCTAGTTTCTTGCATTGCGAATATTGACCTATCAAAGCACATTAACACTAATCTGAAAGTCAATAGTGTTAGATTGTTAATAACTAACGTAGCTAACAGTTTTAAATTAATTCTATAAACATGTGACTTTAGAGACAAACCCTTCCAACTATCTTTCAAAGTAACCTGTGCTGGGGATTTTATTAAAGTAAATGAAAAGGAAACAAAATGGTGCCCTATATGTACAAATCAATCCTCCAGTACAGGGGCTGGCTTGAGGGCAAGTCCTGCCTGCCTGTTCTTTGTAAATGAAGTTTTATTAGAACACAGTCATGCCTGTTCATTTACAGATTGTCTATGGCTGCTTTTTTTCCTATAAGGGAAGAGTTGAGTTTTAGGTACAGAGACTGCAGGACCCACAAAGCCAAAATAACTTACCATGATAGAAAGACTTTTACCTTGATAGAAAGATTTGCCCACTTCTGCATTAGCATCAATATTTTCTCTACCTTTCTGAGTTGCATGTTTGAATTGCTAGTAAGATCCTAAATTGAGTATGCAAAAAATATTCAATGGTACACAGAAGGTGCTTAAATATATTTTTGGATTTGGACTGATTTGAAATATTATCATATATATTTATTTTGTTTTAAATACTATGTGAACCTGTTTCTTTATTCATTCCATTGAGAAATGTTTTATGAAATTTTGGGTAATCAAAATGATTATCTTTGTTCATTTGCAGTTTCACAAAAATGTTCTTTTTTAAGTAATTAGTTTTTCACTTTTAAACAAGCACATTAAAATGAAAGTAATATCTACCCTAGAATTACAGGATAACTTTGTAAAATATCACATTAAAGAGTTTGCGACTGTTCTTCTAAGTATACAATGCAAGCATACAGAAACAAAACAGAAGTTTCTTTCATTACAAAGTCCTGATCTGAAAATACCAATACATGAAAATTGAGGTTTGCAAATGTTTTAAATTATGGTTGATATGCTGTGCTAAAAAAACATACTCCCTCTAAAAACTAAATAGTAAAAGGGAGACTTTTATAATTTTACATGCACGAAATTCAAAAGATTGTAAAGGGATTTTATGATAATAAAGCAATTTTTACTATTTCCTAACCATCAGAAAAGAGGTCAGAGGAGGGGAAAGGAAAAAGAAATATGTGAAGGCCTAATATCTCATAGGCAAAAAGTTGGAAAAGAAGATGGGATCCAAGGTAATTCTTTATTGGGCTTTTCTCTCCTTTCCTTTCTCATTAATTCATTAATTAGAGTAACCTAATTCAGAATCATGCATGGACAGATGTTTCGTAGTTCACATTCATTCCACCTTCCAGGCTGGCTCCATCTGTGCTTCACATCCCAATAAACTTATCAGAATGCCTGACCCAAATCTCCAAACTTTCCAGCTTCATTTCTATCTGCAGCCCACAGCACTTCCTGAACTTATGAGAACTACAGGTGGATCTCTGATCACCTGTTTGGACGAGGACTTGGCAAAGTGGATGAAATGTGGCAGACTTTCTTTTGGGGGGAGTTCAGCAAACTAGCTGCAGGGGGCCCTCAATACTTAGAATTTTGATTAGATTATGCAGGCACCAGAAATAAGCTTGAGTGTAGAATCAGCAGCCTCAGGGGACATTTGAGATAATGGGCAACATGTCTGGCAGGAGTCAAAGGTGGGAAACACACACACACACACACACACCATTAGTATTGGCCAGAGAACAATTCGTGGACAAAAATGAACACATTTAGACATTCTTTGTGAACACATGAGAAACAGGTGTTTTGCTCAAACTTGTCTTCACTCCTTTCTCTTTCTTCTGTGTTGGTTTAAATGCCCAAACATTTCCGACATTCCTTTCAAATGGTGGAGCCCAATCCTTCTCCCCAGGAGTGATTCACTCTGACCAACAGAATATGGTGGAGGTAACCCTGAGAGACTTCTGAGATTAGGTCATAGATTAGGTCATAGCATCCTCTGAGTTGTCGCAAATGGCTTGAGGGGCAGCCTGTTTCCTGCTGTGAGAACCCCAAAGCATCACAATGGATGGGCCCAAGTGGAGCAGAACTGAGGCCTCCAGCCAGCAGCCACATGGAGGGATGGATCCTCCAGCCCAGACCAGCCTTCAGCTGATGGCAGCTTCATGAGGGGCTGGACCAAGAACCAGCCAAATCTGCTGCTCCTGGACTCCTGGCACTCAGACTGTATGGGGTTAATGTTTGCTGTTTAAGCTGCTACAACTTGGGCTAATTTGTTATGCAGCAACAGTAGTTAATGTCCCTTCCCTTCCCTCTCAACCTCCCACTCTCCTTTTTCCTTTCTCCTGCCCTCTCTGTTCCCTTTGTCTATGGGGCCCATTCTTCCCAATACAACACATTCATCCCCTAGTTTCTCCTCATTCTCACTTAGATCCACTTGTTCCCTCATTCCTTACAAGTCCCCTCTCCTCTTATTGAAGTCTATCCTGAGAGTAGAGAAGACACAGGAAGGAGGATCCAGCTCGACTTTGTAACTACATTTAAAATGAATCTTAACTTAGATTGCAAGTGATATTCAACTTTTAAAAATGTGTCCTCTTTATGTTTGAAATTTATGAATGGCTGAACACTTTCTTTAAGTTGGAATAATCCTGTATTAGTTTCACACTGCTGCTGTAACAACATTCCACAAATGTAGTGGCTCAAAACAACACAGATTTATTATCTTAGCTTTCTAGACGTCTGAGTCTCCAATGGATCCTAGGACTGTGCTCCTCTGGAGATGCTAAGGGAGGATGCCCTTGTCTTTCTAGGCTTCTAAAGGCTGCCTGGGCTCCTTGGCTTGAGGCTGGCGTCACTTTCACCTCAGCATCCACATCACTTATCCTTCTCTAACTCTGATCCTATTATGACACTGTGGTGACATGAGCCCACCTGGATAACCAGGACAATCTCCCCCTCTCCAGACCTTCACTTAATCTCATGTGCAAAGTCCCTTTTGCTATGTA